TGACCATGACACTCAGAGTCTTGCGCCTCGAAGGGGTAGAGCAGACGGATTTTACAGAGTAAGAGAAAGACTGAGATAAGACTAGGAAAGAGGACTGCATAATAATAAAGCAGACTCTGATCAATATTCCCTGCACAAGGATGAAAGGGGGGAGAACGACAGTTTGTGTGTTAAGGTTTCATGTCGCTCAAAGGAGCACACCATACCATATATAAATAAACACTGTAAAAATTATAATAGCGAAGGCATGATAGAATGCTACCGGAAACGAGAATAATCCAGGGCAGAAGGGGAGATACCACAATTGTTTAGCACACGCTTGGTAATAGGATCGGCTTCACTTGTCTCTTTGACGAGTTGTTGTGTGGTGCTAAGAATGGCGGTACTGACTGACGATGCTGGCGAAATGTTTAGGAATGTACCACGTCCACGATTCAACTTTGGAGATGATAATGCAGACAATGGACTCCAGACTAGGTGCGTTCCTCTAAGTCTTCCTACCAATATGACCATGTTGCGAAAACAAGGTCAAACAATCTCTGTCATAAATCGTTTACATAGTTGGAAAATATGTTTAAGGAGGGCCTTTGATCAGACTCATGACAACCGCAAGGTTATAACCTAAAGACCAGGATAAACAGGGACGCTTTAGCAGAAACATAAAATTGTGTATCCAATTATAGCCTGCAAAAAGGCACAAAGACTGGCAGATGCATGAGGTCTTTTCAGAAGATCATCCATGCTCGCTCGTCATAGCTAGCCCGGTTTATGGGAATGATCTAGTTACTTGTTGCAAAACGAGAATGATCATCTGCAGGATAAATATAAACAATTAAGGCAGATTCACGAGAAAAAGAAGACTCTAAGGAAAAGGTCATTGGGCTAGCTCGACTGTAAACAAAAGAGCCTTTCGACATTTTTTGGATGCCCATGCTGAATAAAGAGGAAGTGTGAATAGCAGCAAATGCAGAGGTGTCAGGAATGTCTGTTAAAAGCGTCATCATTTTTTTAAATCGAGGCAATCAACAGTCGGGAATCGGGCTTTGGCCAGAACGCATAGCGTGTTATGTAATGTATCAGACAAAATTAACTAGTATTAAGGTCAATTAATAACAGAACAAAGCATTTAAGTAGTATAAATTAGCAGTGATTAGATAAAGATACACCCAATTTGAATGCACATATAAAAAAGAAATGTTTATAGAAAAACTGGTTTCCGAAAAATCCCTTATTAAATTAGTGTTGGAATACCCTTCAGTTCATTTGAAGAGGCAAGTGGAAGAGATTCGTAAGTTGTTTCCACTGAAAGCTGGGGGCGATTGCCTTGGAGCTGTGATTGTAGATTTTTCGAATCTGTCCTCAGCGCAACGCACTGCGACCCTGATAAATCCTTATACAGCTTTCGTCCGTCATGTAACGGACCAACTCGCACAAATCTACAATCACAGCTCCAAGGCAATCCCCCCACAGCCTCCAGTGGAACCAGCCTACGAATCTCTTCCACTCGCCTCTTCAGACGAAATGAAAGATATTTCAACATGGAAAGAAATGTGCCAACAAATTTTAGCATGCAAGAATGTATGACTAAGCATGTGCAAGTATACATAGTGTATGATTTGGTTGCTATACTAAAAATAAGTCACTATCATCAAATAAATTATAAACTTTTCTTAAGAGAAGTCACTCTAGGAATAGTTCCCAGAAAAGCCCAGGACTAAGAATTGCTAATGAATATATCTCACCTTATTTTAAGCAATTTAATGAAGAGAGAAGTGATAACATATAATGTAACAAACTTTCATTACATGGAAAATAGAGTTGGGAAAATGGTATCTTTCGGACATGAAAAAGAGTAAAGCTTTGCAGAATCCATATTGGTATATGAGAATCCACATAAAGATAGATGCCAAATTAGTATTACTGAACCGACTTATCCTTGTGCTCACGCTAGTAGACACATGGCACAGAGTGCATAAACAAAAGATATATGTGAAACGAGCGATGATATCATGGTTTACTGGTATTCTCGAAAGCCTACTCAATAACGAAAAAAGTAATGTCATCGATTGCTATAGCAAGTATACGTTTGCTTCATCGATAATCCCAACACAGAATGTGATATTTAAGATGCCTGACCTTCCTTGAGATTCACATTTGCCCTGTGACCCAGGGACACTCGTGGTACTGTGGCGTAGTGGTTAACAAGTCGAGAATACATACTGCACTGTCGTGATTCGACTCCAGCTAGGGGTGTTGATAAGACCTAGGCGAGATGGAAACTGCTGTCCAAAACGGAGGAGAACGCCTTTTGAGGAAGCAATGCTATGCGAAGTTCAATAAAAACGTCAGCTCTGCTCACATCATTGTGAGAAAATTCAACTACTAGTCTCAAAGATCTACTCAATAACGAAAAAACCTTTAGTTCTTTGCAAAACAAGCCGCAGCTCGATGATAACAAGCATTGAATGATCTAGCGACGAAAGAACATGACGACGTTAATATAGATTAGTAGGCCTCGTATGCTTGCCTTATTTTATATCTAAATAGGTCAAATTGAACGTACATTTCACCATGACCATATAGACATCCAAAGTGCAGATATCCGGCTGCGTCAGGCGGCCTCCTTTCATAACATAATCCTTGATGCCATTTGTGTCAACGTTCCCATACGGACGCTGGCCGTAGGTAAAGATCTCCCAAAGTGTAACACCTATATTAAATTGGAAGAAAAAGATAAGACTGATAAACAAGTTAATAGATCGAGTTAAGAATGTCTCGTCTGTTAGGACCACATGAATATGAAAGAATGAAACAAGATCATTCGAGGTGCAAAATAGCGCATCAGGTTAGAAGTTTAATTGATTGATAAAAGTGGATTTTTCTACTAGGAATATTCATCAGACTATCTGCAATATCCGTAGGAAAAGAATAATAAGAATAAGATAGAATAAAAGACATATTTAACTAATGAGATGTATTCACCCTATTTCTTCTAAGGTGATGAAGGACTGGTAGTAGAATTTTCCCACAATGAT